GTAATCCCCCCAACACCCAGTTATGACAAGGTTAATCTAAATGAGTCTGCTACAAGAATGATAACCCTACAGAACTTCCTCTCTCCGCTGAAAACATTAACTTCATCTACATATAATCTGCATCTCATCTCCTTGTGCTCCTGGTTCAGAAAACAAGCCCCTGCCTACCTTTCCCTTGGCTGCAAATCTTTTCTGCCTTTGTATTTTGTTAATTCATATGGTCTTTCAGAGAACTGCTAGCTTATATGCCTGTCTCTCAGACTTCTGCACCACAGCCACTTAGAACACAAGCTTTATGACAGCAGGACTCGTCCTAGAGCTTTAATATCAAAACCACTGCCTCACACTTAAGAGGCACTCAGTAACAGAGCTGCCTGTAATCTCCAGAATTTAGCTTCCTCAAAGATGCCTTCTTGACTCGATTATACATCAGTGACACCAACTCTATTTTCGCAAACCACCCTATAGATTTTCTGGAGAGAAAAGATCTGGTGTAATCTTCTAAAATGAACTCCAAGAAGGAACTACCACTGAAGCAAAACAGCAGATTCTTTCAGACTCTACAAGTGCACTTCTTAACCATTTTTTACCTTGCCACACACTATTATTTAATCCAGACATTTTCTCACATCACTAAGATCAAACTGTCACAGAATGGGAAAGTCAATATTTAACCCAAATCAAATTAGACCCAGAAATTCTTTCTAGCTCTTTCTTGTATTTGAAACTCAGATAAGAATATTTTCTTTTCCTTTGGCTAGCCTGATAAAAAAAAGCCATACAGAAAAGGTATCAATCAAAAAAAAAAAAAAAAAAAAAAAAAAAAAAAGTGAGACCCAAAACCTTGATTAAATGATCTAAAGGCAAAATTTTTATATGGAAAGTGTTGACGTATCTCAGCAAAATATCAAATAGCACATAAACAAAGTACCGAAAGCATTTAAATACAAAAGTAATAAAGTGCATCTACAAGCATACCGTGGTTTTTTGTTTTTGTTTTTTTTCCTCCCAAGTAATATGATAGCCTCACTGTTCTTAGAGAGCAGTGTAAAGGCATAAAGTTCCTGGCTCTTTTAGGGGTGATACATAATTTAGCAGTAATGTTAACAATCCATACATAATCCATTAGTAGTGTCATTTCACCCTGCTCTGTATGTTTTTAAATGCTCTAGGTGAAGCTTCCTTTTTAAAGGTAAAGAAAGGGCTGGGAGTATTGATCAGTGGTAGACTATATACTTAGCACGCATGAGGTTCAATCCTCAGCACACACACAATTTTTTTTTTTTTTTTTTTTTTTTTTTTTTTTTTTTTTTTGTGGAGGACCTGGGTTCAATTCCCAGGATTTACATGACAGCTCTTAACTGTCTCTAACTTCAGCTCCAAATTAACCAACATACTCTCTGGCTTCCATGGGCACCAGGCACACACATGTTACACAGACCTGCATTCAGGCAAACGCTCATACACATAAAATAAAAATAAATCTTTTTTAAAAAAGCAAACAAAAAATTCATTTTTACTTCCAAAATTGCTTCTTACAAGCCCACTGTTCAATCTCTTGTATTTTATGTAGTAAAATGAATATTTGATGCTTTTATTAAAGAAAACAGGGAAATCTGTCCATTCTTTTAACTTTTACTTACTTATTTTTGGGTGTGGGTGTATTTGTGCCATGTGAGTGTACAGAGGTCTGAGGACACCTTGTAGGAGGTGGTTTTCTCCTTCCACCATATGGGTTCCACCATCCCAATGTTAGTTTTCTTTTTAAGTCAGCACTTTCCTATTTTCTTGTCTTTCCTTCAAGGGAATTCATCATAAAATTTATGTCATCCTTGTGCAAGGGCTACCCAACCATACAGGAAGCCCTGGGTTCTATCCTGGGTGGTTGAGACATGAGGATCAGAAGTTCAAGGTCACACTCCATCATAGGCCAAGTTTGAGGCCAACCTGGGCTATAAGTGCCCATCTCTCAAAAATAAGTAAGTTTAAATCACCACCATATACATTTTCAATGAAGTCATGACTTTACCCTTCTGAAATGTACCAAATAGTAGAAGGAGACTAATCTGACTGAGCCAACTAAACTGGCCCCCACATATTCACAAAGGGGGAAAGATACTCCTAACAGAAAAATGAGCTCAGGGCCTGGAGAGATGGCTCAGTGGTTAAGAATGCTGTCTGTTCTTTCAAAGGACCTGGGTTCAATTCCGAGCACCCACATGGCAGCTCACAACTGAATGTAACGCCAATTCCAAGGGATCTGACACCTTCACACTAATGCACAAAAAATAAAAGAAATAAGCCAAAACCAGCCTGGTGGTAGTGGTGCACCCCTTTAATCCCAGCCCTTGGGAGGCAGAAGCAGGAGAATCTCTTTGAGTTTGAGGCCAGCCTGATCCACAGAGCAAGCTCCAGGACAGCCAGGGTTATACAGAGAAACCCTGTCTTGAAAAACAAACCAAAACATAAGCCAAAACTTTCAAAACAGAATTTTTGGCCTAGATAGTAAATACCTTTAGAGAATGACTTTACTTTAAAAAATTTACGTTTGAGCTGGGTGTGGCAGACATCTTTAATTCCAGAATATGGAATGCAGGCAGAGAGAGGTGGATCCAAGTTTGAGGCCAACCTGGTCTATAACAGTTCTATAACAGCCAGGGCTACAAAAAGAAACCCTGTTTCAAAAACAAAGGAACAAAAAACTGACTACAGAATTAATTAAAAATAAAAATTCACCTTTGCCTTAAAATTAGAATACATCACACCATATAAAATAGGAATTAGTATCAATAACATTTTCTTAAAAACATAAATGTTTTTCCATGAATTGTATTTCAGTTCCATAATACTAAGTTAATAAATTAACTGCTTTTTAACATTTACCACAGAAGATCAAATTTTTGTGGCTGTTTCTTTCATATGAGAACAGTGCTGACTGAGGTGGGGGGGTGACACACAATCCCAGCACTCGGGGAGACAGAGGCAGGCAGATCTCTATGAGTTCGAGGCCAGCCTGGTCTACAAAGTGAGTCCAGGACAGCCAAGGCTACACAGAAAAACCCTGTCTTGAAAAAAAAAAAAAGAGGGGGGGGGGCTAGAGAAATGGCTCTGCGGATAAGAGTACTTGTCTGCTCCTCCAGAGGTCCTGAGTTCAATTCCCAGCAACCACATGGTAGAATCTGATGTCTTCTTCTAGCATGCAGGCGTAGCATGTGCAGATAGGGCACTGACACATATATAAAATTTAAAAAAGAATCCCATTACTATGAAGTAATCTATTATTTATAAAGCACCTGTGAAACAAATACAACATATAAATGCACAGTCCTAGGACCAAAGCAGGAGACTGGGGCTAGATTTTAGTTTCTGATCTAATCTGAAAAAATAAATTTGTCTTTGTTTGTCAAGGATTATACCACCTTTTGCTGTCAAAAGTTCTAATGGGTATATGCCTGCCTCACAGGGTCAACACAGGTCAGGCTGATAAATGCACTCTACACTCTGTGAAGTACAAGGCCTAATTACTATCTAGGTATTTCCTTCCCCCTTTGCTTTTAATTCAACACAGAGTTTATTATCACTACTCCAAATGCTTTCCATTTCCACCCAGCTCTTTAAAGAGACATGACTTGGTGTGTGCCCCCAAGGAAACCAATAAACACCTCCTTATGAGAATTACGCCAATGGAAAATCTGAAATTCTGAAAGTACGAGGAAACATCTTTACCATTAAAGTGGAAAGGGGACTTGTCTTTCCATTCCTAGAAATGCATTAATTTTTTTCAGGTGCAGTTGTTGAGAGAGAGAAAGGGAGAGAGAGTCTGAAAACACCTTTTGGAAATCAGTTCTCTCCTTCCACTGTGGGTTCTGGGCATGAACTCAGGTAATCTGGCTTGGCAAAAAAAAAAAGCACTTTTACTCCCTGAGCCATTTTACAGGCTCCCTCAAGTGCGGTGTTGTTACTGATGGGAATTTGGTGTGTGTGTGTGTGTGTGTGTGTGTGTGTGTGTGTGTGTGTGTGTTGAGCGTCTGGCATGGCAAATCACCCTTCCCTGCTGAGTCTCTCACATGCCAAGGATTTAAGAAAAATTTATTTTATTTTGCAAAAAAGAAAAGCAGTAAGTTACAGGGAGCAACCCATGTCCAGGAGGAATGGCTGCTGGCCCTGAGCCCACGTAGTCTTCAAATGTGACTTACAAAAAGAGTTTAGCAACAGCAACAAAATGCATCGCTTAACGACCTAACTTCGTAAACGACTAACACCAACCAGTACAAGACATGCATCCTGGCAGCGCACCCAAACTTCCAGGATTGGTACAGAGCTACCCCCTGACAGTCCCTTAAAACTGATCACAAGTTCTCATCGTCCTGGAGAAAAGCGAGCACCTTTGGCGAGAAAGCAGCCCCTGTGTCCAGGTAAGGCTTCTGCAGGAAGTGGAGGGGCGCCTTAGGTTCACCTCAAGAGCTGGAAAACCAATATACTATGACTCACTGACACTTCACACATGTGAAACACACACACACACACACGTCCAGAGGAGCGAAAGAAGCGCTGCCTCGCAAGCGAATGGGCAACCTTGGCAAGCAAAACCGCCCGAACCGAACGCCCCCCCCCCCCCCCCAAAAAAGAACTTAATTAAAAAGTAGCTACTCGATCCGAATTTGCGCGAGCGGGGCTTGATTTTGCCCGAATCCAGCCTGAGAACAACAAATTGGTCAACGGCGGAAGTTGCCTGACGAAATGACTGTAACATGAAATCCAGTTTTATGATCATAACAAAACCTTCCTTCCGGGACCAGGCCAAAAAGAGAGAGAGAGAAAGTTGAGAAACCGTCCTTCGGGGGTGCAACAGGCACCGTGGCCGGCCGGCGAGAGCTCGGCCCGGGAGCCGGTGCGGGCGCCTCCCCGGGGCTCCCGTTACAAGTTGTGCGGGCTCCGGGCCCGGCCCACCCTGCCCGCCGGCCCGCGCGCGCGGCGCCCCCCTCGGCCCCGGCACCGACCTTCCGCAGGGCCGGGACCAGCAGTCCCCGCCATTTCGGGCTGTTCTCTTCGCTGAAGAACTCGTAGGGCTGCGGCGCCTGCTGCATGGCCCCGGCCGCAGCGCCTCCGCATCGGAGGCCGGGCGGGTGGCCTGACGGGCAGGCCGCCGCTCCGGGCCGAGCTGTCGGGGGCGGGGGCGGCGCCGGCCGGCGGGCGGGCGGGCGGGCGATGGCCGAGGCTGGGCGGCCCCGCA